TAGAGGAATAGAATAGATGAAATGCAGTTCCAAGGTGATTCATCCCAGCAAGTAGAATATCCCCCAAACATGAGCCTAGACTTCATGAAGGGTGTAACAGGAATAGTCTTTATTGAAAACACACGGGCTTTTATGAGAAATCCTCCTGCAAGAGGACCTCCCACAGCAAACAAAAGCAACAGCCAATCATCACACAGATTTACAGTATTACACGCCTCCTCTCTGCCTGGGAAATATTGAGATAAGTTAAGGAATAAACCAATTATCTCCAGGCAGAGAGCACATAATTTCCCCAAAACTTAGAACACCCCTTTCCCCACAAGGTATCCCCACAAATTACATATCCCCTGATAGCCCCGATCTGGGGGACAAACATATCCAAATTTCACCCAGATCGGTTCAGGGGTTCTGAAAAAGTGTGGAGGGTCCCTTTTACCGACCACACACGCAGCTCCTGCCCAAAACAGTTCCATGATTTCAGCGTGTGCGGTCGGTCAATTCACAAAACTGCAAAAAACAAACAAAAGTCCCGAATGGATTCCCCTGGCTCATAGTAACGATTGCTTCCCTTGTCGATTCGCACAGAACCAACGAATGAGGCTCTCCTGGCTTTTCATATGAGAAGCCGGCGTTCGGTAGTTTCCAGCGGTAGTTCGTGAGGTCGAGTGTCCAATTTTAGTTCCAGACACTCGACGACCTAGTCCCGCTGGCTCTCCTCGTGCGAACAAGATGGCCGCCGTTTTCTTTTCCACATGGCGTTTTGTTATACGAACAGCGGCCGCCCAGGGAGCACTTAATAGCTAGTTTCTTTGAAGTAAATGAGCCAGGAGGGTGCTCGGCGTTCGGTAGTTTCAAACTACCGAACCAATCCATTCAATATACAAGTATTCACATATAAAAATACCGAATAAAAAGGGAGAAAATAACAGGTAAAAGTCTATTTTTTTTCACAATGGGGTTTTGTAGATGAGTAACACACATCAGGTTTATTATTATGATATTTATAGAGCACCGTCAAATTCCGCAGCGCTTTACATTGGGTGGACGAACAGACATGTAGTTGTAACCAGACAAGTTGGACACACAGGAACAGATGGGTTGAGGGCCCTGCTCAATCAGCTTACATGCTAGAGGGAGTGGGGTAAAATGACACAAAAAGGTAAGGATAGTATTAGACTAGTGACAGCTGCAGAAGAGGAATCAGTCAGGAGCTATTAACAGTTTAATTGATACGAGTGGAGACTGGGTGAGCATCTAACGGAGGAGGGAAGCAAGTTCCACAGGAACGGCGCAGCCCTCGAGAAATCTTGAAGGCGAGCATCAGAGGTGGGAGTACAGACAGAAGATAGATGTAAGTCTTCAGCAGATCGTAAGGGCCTATATGGGACATACTTGTGTATAAGGGAGGATGGATAGGTGGGAGCAGCATTATGTAGAGATTTGAAAGCAAGAACCAGAATTTTAAATTGAGCTCTATATTTTATAGGAAGCCAATGTAGGGATTGACAGAAGGGTGAGGCATGGGAGTTGCGGGCGGACAGGAAGATGAGCCTTGCCGACGCATTCATTATGGACTGTAACGGTTTAGGAGGAAGAAGACCCAACAATCTCAATACAACTATAAGCAGAGAAAATAAACTCCGTTATACTATTTTTTTTTTCTTTTTCTCTGCTTCTAGCTGTACTCCTACACTACTGGTTGTATATACGTTTTTAACCTTTGCCATATTCCCCTAATTCTGTGTTTTTCTCTTTGCTACTTGAAAAAGTATGTATTCCAACCACAGTGTTCGAATTTCACTGTTAGACAGTTAAAAATTGCTACCTTTAGGGCACAAAACCAAACAAGCATTTTCTATTAACTGGCCAGGATACTGCCAACCCATTCTACTGTAAACAATTTGCCGGCTGTGTATAATTGTTCTTGATAAAGATTTTTATCTCTTAGCAATTACAGGCGCATGTGACTGACTCCTTAAATAAAGTTAACCAGCTCTGTAACCTGATCTCTGGAATACGAGGTCGTTTTGACCCTTTGAAGAATCGCTTCTATTACTTTTTTTTTTTTTTCAATTGTTTTGCTGACTTTTTTTAAGTTAGTGGTCAAAATGTTTTGGATAATAGAATTTAATGTACTACAGGCTTTTTAATTGGTTTAATTAATATATCAGTAGTATTCTTAGTTATCACCAACACTTTCTGACGTTTTGCGTGTGTCTATATAATTTATTAAAATATATATAATTTTATATTAAATCTGGGCTAATTTAAGAGATACTCTGGACCCCCAAAGCTTGCTTATATACATCGTGTGAAGAATGTGTCCTCTTTTTACAAAAAGTACATATTTTAATAAAAAATAGGCACTTATATACATGAACCTTGTTACAACCCCTGACTGCCCAACAGACAGCTGGTTTTTTCAGCTCAGTGAGACTAAACTTAATAGGCAGTGGTTATGATGCCCCTGCGCTCACCCATTGTAATGAATTTAAACTTTTTTTGAATGGTTTGACTTCTTACCCGAGGTCCGCATTGCACCCCTCCCCTCATCCACTACCAATGCTGGAGAGCCAGAAATTCCCAAGCAGGAAGCTGTTGTCCTCCGTCAATTAGCTAAACTCTGCACTGCACTGCAGGTCTTCACATTAGAGAACTAGCGGAAGTTCCTGCTTAGGAACTTGGCGACCCCTTATTGATATATATTATAGAATGTGTATATGTGAGAGAAAGGCCCCCTTCAGTATTTGTTCTCGTTTAATTTTCTTTGTCCATTCTTTCATTGGTCTGTTTGTTTTTCATTCTTTTATTTAAGATTGATACAATTAAACATAAAACAAGTTAACATTGGCGTAAAGTAAAATAAATTCCTCCATCTCGCAATCCAATGTTTAAGGATTTTTGTGTTTAGTGTTTTTTTTTTATTTTATTTTTTATTTTTTTTATAATTCTTTATTTTTGTAGTGCTTTGCAAGTTTCACATATAAACACAGACAGTGCAAAGGTATCAGAAAGTATTCGTTGGTTGAGTACATGACATGTCTGAATAAATGCACCTTTTTTGGGTTATAATATCAAGATATTCATGCTTAGGCCTACATAGGGTAGTGTAAGTGATGATAGATTGCTAATCACAGGCCAAACATGCTGAGAGAGGTATTAAGACTTATGCAGGCATAAGTAATGCAAGAGGGAGTAAGTTGCTTAGAATTCAATGAAGATAAAATCAAACAGTATGGTATAAGCTTGTACATGTAAGTTAAACTAAAATATGAACTGGACTGGAGGTAAGTGTCAGAGCCTTAAGTTTCTGCCAACGGTGACAATGTCCCTTGAGATGTATAATGTGAGGACAGGACCACATGCCCATTGAATTAGTCCCTGTCAGCCTATGCCCACTGGGTATGGATAACTGTCCAGCATGGATGTGACTTGCCAGGGAGAGACACACTTGCTTGGTGAGGAGATGTCTGCCACTGATAGCATGCGGGGCGGCTCAGAGGTGGCTGTGGTGGTTTCTTGATGCAGCTTAGAGCAAACGCTGGTATAGTAGGACTCGCCATTCCACAGCAGCGGCGGTCAGGACATCGGTCCACACCTCGGTATCTTAGGTGGTAGCGCGGCTTGCATGACATTGCAGGTCTGCTGTGTTTTCAGGCGGTGGTATATGGTGCCTGTAGTCCTGCTTGAAGGTAGGCAAAGTTGGTCGCGTCGCTGCCATTTTGGCGCCCTGGCGTGGGATTCACTGTGCCCTGCAGGCTCGATGGGCCGGTATTAGGCAGTAATTCCCTCCAATGTGGACCGGGATAACCCCCCCAGTCCGTGGGGGGGGGGGGAGCAGGACCCATAGGACATGTCACTGGGCTGCTGCACGGCTGCCAGGTTCCGAAACAGGACGGCGGCCGTCCGCCCCTTTCTACACCCACATGGGCCGCAGGTACCGAAGCCTCGCATCACCCCCTGGGCCTGCAAGACTCCCGATCAAGAGGACATAGTCTTAAATTAGAGGGACAAAGGTTTAAAAATAATATCAGGAAGTATTACTTTACTGAGAGGGTAGTGGATGCATGGAATAGCCTTCCAGCTGAAGTGGTAGAGGTTAACACAGTAAAGGAGTTTAAGCATGCATGGGATAGGCATAAGGCTATCCTAACCATAAGATAAGGCTAGGGACTAATGAAAGTTTTTAGAAAATTGGGCAGACTAGATGGGCCGAATGGTTCTTATCTGCCGTCACATTCTATGTTTCTATGTTTCTATGTTTCTATGATCTCGGGTCCGCAATGGCACCGTCCACTACCTGGACACGGGAGGTATTATCTTGACTCCGGGACAGGCTGTAAACTTAGTATTTTCGTAGAAATAGGCCAAATCCTACTGGAGCCCCTCCAGCCTGCGACCGGTCAGCATGGCGGTCGGGCCCCGCCACCCGGTGTTTTGGTTTTAAGGTGAGCGTAGAGGCTACAGAATGTGGCTCGTCTGCCCTCTGGGTTATCTGATGCTTGTATTCAATGTGGGCGACACCAGAGGGTAAAGACAAACCTATATCACTCAATCACTTTAGCTCTACAATGAAAAACATTGTAGTTTTGCAGAAAATGCAATGTTTACATTACAGGGTTAAACATTGCCACTAGAGGCACTTCCGCAGCAGAAGCAACTGAGTAAAACACAGTCATGTGACCAACACAGCCCAGCCAATAGGAAAGCATTGAGTTTCCTATGTGAAGTATTTGACTGTGCATATGGCACTCACCGCACATGCCTACCTAATGCTTCTGTATGGGTAGTATTGGATTGGCCATGTGGGGCGGCAGCTAAAATTAACGACCACTGCATACAAACCAGATGATTATAGCAAAATGTTTTTGTTTTTTTACTTTATATTATCAAATATAACTGATTTTATATTTTAAATATGTTTCCATGGTTACTGAAGGTAAACAAATTTATTCTCCATACAATGTCTTCAAGTCTATTTGATAAGAAGTGGGCAACCAGATCCTGTGAGGCGCACATTTACTGAAGGAGTTGGGACTTAGCCATCCGTATGCAGTGAAAAGTGATTACATTTATTTTTCTTACTTTCTAGATTGAGATTGGAATTTATTTACCATATGGTCAACCACTCTAGAAAAACAATGGATGTTTTTGCTAAAAGTGAAATAAAGTGCCCCGGGGGCTTCTATTGTGCCCAAAACTGGTGCTGGACCAACCAAACTGTAAGAGTGCAGAAACGAAATAGAACATGTGATCAACGAGTTGTCAAGTTCGGAAATATTCGATGGAATGTAGACCACCTACAACCAGGATAAAGGTAGGAAAACATTTACATTTTGATGTAATAATAATTTCATTTTAATGCTTTAATTCTGTATGAAACATTATTTTTGTATTTAAAGTAGGCAAGGTGGTGAAAGAAAATACAGTTTCAGATAATGCTCTACTAATGTTGGAGAAAAAAAAGATACATGCATTAAGATTTAGCAACTGTGCATTATTCTTGCTTTTGGCTGCTGTATTGATTACTCTAAAGCAGTGGTAGTCAATCCTTTTCTACCTACCGCCCACTGATGCATCTTTCTTGATGTAAAAATTTCCTTACCGCCCATCAGTTTTCGTGCAAGTGCTGAATATTTCTTAGAAAGGAGGGTACATACATTTATCTTTTTATTTCTACTTAATGCATGTTTATAATGTTTTTAACTTTATAAAGTTTAATGAGAAAACAATAAAGTAAATAGAAATTACCTTTACTAGTGATTAATGAGATCCTTGAGGTTGATGCTGCAATACTAAATATTTGATATCTGGTTCGATTTTCGTAAGGAACAAACGAAGGTCTCCTCTTTCGGTGATATTCAGACGACTTCTCTGTTTGCGCATAATATGATTTCTCATCTGTGCGTCAGCTCCCCTCCCATCCCTCCTTAATTCCCCTCCCCCCCTTTCCCCCCTTTTTTCTATTTTTTTTTTAGCCTTCCTTATAGCAATGCCCAGTAGGAAGGCTGAGCTAGGTAGCCCACTTACTATTATTTACTATAGCCCACTATAACAGGCACACATACATACAGACACACACACGACACACAGACACATACATACAAACAAACAAACAGACAGGCACACATACGCACACACACACAAGACACATGCATACAAACAGACAGGCATACAGACACACACACACACATACAAAGACACACATAAGACATACATACAAAGACACATACACACAGACACAAGACATACATACAAAGACACATACATAAGACACACATACACACACAACACATACATTCAAATACAAGATACATACATACACACATATATACAGACGCACACACACAAGACATACATACAAAGACACACACATACATACAAAGACACACACACAAGACATACATACACACAAACACACACAAAATATTTTAGTCACCTTCCTGTTTCCTACCTTTTAGGTGCAGGAGGGTGACTTTCCCTGGGATCTAGTGGTGGCTCAGGTGGATGGGAGTCAGAGTTCCCACTCTGACTCCCCCTGCTTCCTCCCATGCGGCTCTCAGTGTTAGCTGGGAGGAGTGACGTGCAGTCACTTCCTCCCAGCTCTGTGATGTAATCACAGGGAGCCCAGTCGCGCTGTTAAAGCGCCCAGCGCTGACCGGGCCCCCTTACAATGCACATGCATTGAGTGGATCTGACAGCATGGGCCACCCGATGGACCCCTTGGCGGTTTGCCGTTCGGGCCAGGGCAGCAAATGGTGATGGCGGTACCTGGTCACAGGGGTACCGCTGGCTCGCACCCGCCCAATCTCTCAAAATGAGGAAATCCCTACCGCCCACCTGGAATCCTGAAACACCCACTCTAAAGCAAGCATGTCAAACTCCAAGTCTAGCACAGGCCACATAAACAAGGTTTAAGTTTATGTGGGCCGCAAAAAAAAAACACGTGAAACTTTTATTTTGAAAAGTACAGTATAAAAAAAAACAGCACCCCCCTCTACTAAATCCCAGTCCTCCCCATATACAAAATACCAGTCCTCTCTCTCTCCCTCTAAATCCCAGCACCACCCCCTAGACAACAAGTAGACTCCACTCACATTGCCGCTGCCAGTATGTGACTCCGGAGTACCGCCTCTAGTAAACCCCAAATGGCGCCGTCCGCACCCTGTGCCAAATCTGACCCTCCCGCTACTTCTTGAAACTCTGTGGAGGTGGAGCACGTCGATGTCATGTCGGAATGTGGCGTTGCGTGCCTCCATGCACCTCTAGGTACTCTGCTGTCCAGTAGCAGCCAATGCACTGACCAACACGCACACTCACTGACAGACACACTCACAGACAGACACAAACAGAGACACACACAGACACATTCACTGACAGACACACAGACACTCACTGACACACACTCACTGACCTATACAAACAGACTCTGACAGACACACACTCATTTTCTTTATTGCTTCCCTTATTCTTTATTGCTACCTTTTGGGAGCCGATGTGGGGCCTCTCCCTGGGGTCCAGTTGGGATCTTCTATCTGCTCCCTCTCGCGCAGTTTAGTGATGCCGTGTGCCGGAATATGACGTCATATTCCAGCGCCCGGCCTCACTACAGACAGCGTGCGTGAGGGAGCGGTGAGCAGCAGGAACACCGAGCTCCCTCGCTGGCCCTTCTCCCCGGGTAAATTTTAGCAGAGTAGGCACCTGCGGGGAAAGCAGGTGCCTACTCCGCTTTAACACCAAGCATGTACTCGCGGCTCACCTTGCCGCTAAGATGGTCCTTGTGGGCTGCGAGTTTGACATGCTTGCTCTAAAGGGCATGATTACAATCTGCGCAGTCCAAGAAATCCCTGCCGTTCTAAGTTGCTCATGTCTGAGAGTCGGTGCAGGGTGCTGTCTGCACCAGCAATGTACCAACTATTATTATATATTTATTATAATATAAATAATGCAAAGTTATAATAGCACTTAGAGAGCCCCCATAACCAGTCAAGTATAGCTTACAGGTTAGGATTCATTCATTTTGGGCTGACTTGGCAAGATGCAGGTGGGGCACAGGCTGCTCTTACTGCTAATCTGATGGGCTGCAGGCTAACATGTCTATGGAACTAGCATTTAATGGGCTACTTCACCCCAATCATTCCCATGTATGTGGTGCTTATATAATGGTTAACTTTTATATTTTATTGAGTTTTTGTTGTTTTTTTTTTTTTTTTTTTTAATACAATCCCCCCCCTGGTGTTGAACGGTTAATGGGGATAAAGCCCAGACTGTATCCATGAAAAGCTCAAACAGATATTCTTTGGGCTTAGTGAATGTAATTTTGCAGATTTGAAGCACAAGCACATAAGATCTTCAGAAAAGAGGACCACGCCACAAAATTACCAAAGTGTAAAGTCCACAGTTTAAATAAACTTTTCCATTTAAGGAGCAGGAAGCCTACGCTGGTAATCCTTTTCATGATAAATGCACCTCAGCGTATGGGAAAAGAAGAAAGAAGGAGAAAACAGAATGTGCACAAAATTGTAAAAGATATAGGAGGTGGGTTCTCACATTAAATTAATCTAAACGTTGGTCATAGCAATAAAACACGAGGATGTTGTATACATTGATTCACTCATGGTCAGACTGTTCTTCCACGACTAGTCTTGACATTTGGTGTGGTTCTCCTGTAATTTGACTGTTTGAATGTCTAGTTTGAATAAAATTGCATATAAGGCTCGTCCAGCAAGGTTTTATCCTTTAATAAATTTAGTTCATTTGTTTTCATACATTACGGTGCCTTTATTGTGAAATCGATTATCAGAGGAGGCTACGTGTTTCTCAAGTGGAAAAGTTAGGTTTGGGACTTTACACTGAGGACTATGGTTTTCGTTTTGTTTGGTCCTTGTTCTCTGAAGTTATTATAGTTATACAGTGAGAAGTTGGTTGGTGAAGGTATTTCCCATCATAGGATAACACTGCTAGGTTACTTATAGGGTTACTCCAAACACCATCACCACTTCTGAGTTTTAATGTTGTTATGGTGCCAAGAGTCTGTGTGTGTACGCTTCACAGACCGAGATGAACCCCTTGGATGTACATTTGTTGTGCCATAAGATGCAATGGTATGTGACTGAATTTTAGTGAAACCACTTACATAAGTCAAAATGTTTTTAATTGGAAAGTGGTTTGTGGAACAAGATTATGATTATACCAAAGAAAAAAATCAGAACAGCATTCAGATGTGGCTTGGATTGAAAACTGGCAACATTTTGTTCATTAAAACTTTTCAAGCCGTAAACAAAAGGCATGGCATCCTACAATTGCAATTAAGGATTATTCTAGCCATGGTGGAGATATAATTTAAGTTTTATTAAAGACAGGAGGCAAATAAATGCTTCTACCTTCTTTATTGACACCTCCAGCTGCAAAGATACAGTTAACATAGTCAGTATAAAACAACCAATCTGAATGAGAGAGGGCAAATATAACCCTTAACTAGACTCTCCCACTTCCTCTTTCTTTGATGAGGTCGAGCAGGAGAATAGAACAACCGGAAACGGCAACCAAAGGAATCAAACACGGCAGAACAGGCAGAACCGTAAGAAAAACTGGTGATCCGCTTCACACTTAAAAGGAAACAGACTCCTGAGAATAAACTGGAATAAACACAAAATACGTTGTGTAAATGTCACACAAAGTAAATGCAGTCCATCATGGAAATGCAAAGTAAAGCAAATGGAACCATAAACACAATCCCAACAATAAAAAAATTAACCAATTAAGTAATGAAGACAAAAAAGGATAAGAAATAATAGCAAAGGACGGAAAATATTCACCTCCTGTCATTAATAAAATTTAGATTATTTCTTCACCAAGGCTATTATCCTCAATTTTATTTATTTTTCTAAATTCTTTATTTATTCCAAGACAGGACATCTTAAATATCCTTAATTTTAAATCAAGGCAAGAGGCTTTGTAATTGCAGTTTTAATGCCCAGGGAGTAAATCAAAAGAAGCACGAGAGCGAGGATGTAAATAAAATGCCAGGAAGTAATTCCCATGACCAACCCGCCACGGTCAAAATCTCGGATAACAAACTGCCCACGTCCCTGGCCGCAGAGGCACCATGCACAGAGTGGGCAGCAAAAGAGCCTTCCACGCCTACGAGGCAAAGAACCCATTTGACCTATTGAGCTACCGTGTGAGTTGAAACCACCTTAAAAGGACGCACATAGCAAATGAAGAGTTGACTGCGCGGAGAAGACCGTTAAGACGGAGTCAACGAGATGTAACAGCGAGAAACACAAAGCCAAGGTCTGTCCGGAAAATATTGGTAAGACAAAGAAAAAGTATTAGACTAAGTTTTGTGAGAAACCGCCAAGGCTCTCCTTTACTTCCAAGTATCTCTTCCAGCACCCAGGGCAGTGATTATAGCTCAGTGTTATAGCTAGTATAGTGATCTCTCACAAACACTAGTTGAGACTTATTGAAGGGTTAAGAAGAATTGTTTTTATTGTCAGCTTGTCACAGTTATATACCTGGGGCCTCAACAAACAGTCCACAGGAAAACAATTGTATTGCGACATCCCTGGCGCCTTGGTAATGAGTAATTTAATTATCTAGATGGTTCATTTAATTAGCGACCAGGCACAAAAGCACCGCAATAATACAGGGTTCCCGTGCCCACATCCCCAAACAAATGGTATCCCCTAAAGGTCCGGACAGACCTCAGATAGGAGATGTTTAGCCCGAGTTAGGTGGAGGTCAAGGTTTAAGCAGGCTGCGAATGCTCTCCAATCCCGCGCAGAGTTCAAGGCCACTGGGTGAAAATTCCCGCCCACCTGAGCGTTTTTTGTGTACATGGTGCCCCCTCAAGTCCAAGGTGTCATTTGATACCTCACCACCTTCTCCTTTCCAAAAAGCGCTTTGAGAAGCATGAAGCCCCAGGAAGGCTTTGGAGACACAGAACACCTGACCGGGAGCAATACCCGAAAGGTATTACGCCCTGATCGAGAGATGCCTGTCCAGACCGTAGTCGTGGTAGAAATCTTTCGTGAGATTCACCAGATGTTTTGATTGGGAACTGACCAGATGGTTATATAATGCAACACATTGTCCAGCTGGAGAATCAGAGAGCAGTGTGTTTTGTCCTTTGTGAATAGCAAAGGATTCTGCGATCAATTCCTGACAATTTATGTGTAGTTCTGTTCATCTGGAGTCCAAAGGCCTCCTGTGGCCACTCTGTTGCTTGCCACGTCCCATCCCATCCAGATTGCAGCTGAAAATTGCCCTCCCATTCCATGCTTTTATGTGTGTCAGCCACCACCGGATTACTAGACGAACGTTGTTTGTCAAGGCCACTGGAACTGCAGGAAACATCTGTCGTCAGGATGAATCGGTATCTGAAGATAAGTGTCCTTCAGGTCCAGATGTGAGAATCCATCACTCTATCAGAGCAGGTCATGGAGAAGACTGCAGGACCTGAGGATCCTGGGTAAGATCAGCACACCGGGAAAAAGTGAGACAATCTGCCTGCAATAGGAAATAGGATAAAATGGGTGACTCTTAACTGAGATAAGCGTAGCCCAGGTAGAGGTGGATCCTGAACCTTATTCAGAGACCTGTAAATCAATACATGGATGTTCAGTTTCCCTAAACAAAAAGCCTTTAACCTCTGGATCCAATTTTTTTGGACACCAGGTCCACCAATTTGGTATCTAGCTTGTAGAGGACTGCCTTATGTCATTCTATGGACAAGGCCACATTGCCTAGGAGCCATAAGGCACTATGGGCCCATTCCTGGAGCAGACCAGCACCCACGGACAAGTCGTTGGTCAGGGCTTAATTCGCCATTGGAAAACTCTGTCAACGGACCACCGACACCCAGCAGTTTGCCCTGCCTAGAACAAAGACTCTGTTCCAAGCCCTTACGTGGCTCTTTGCCAGACTTCGTCATAAACGTGACAAAGACCGTGTTGAATTCAGGAATGAGAGACACAGTGTCTGCCAGTGTCAGTCTAGGGCAGCGTTTTCCAATTGGTGTTCTGCAGAACCCTAGGGTTCCTGAAGAAAAAAAATAGGGGTTCCGCAGCGATTTGCCAATCGGCTGGCCCATTAACGTAGGGTCACCCGATCGGTATTGCTGAAATACAGGGGCCGGGTCAAGGTCTAAAATGGCCAGGCCTCTGCCCCCCAAGCAGCACCAGCAGTTTGCCTAGCTGCACTAGGGAGACCGAGGGTGTTGAGCTGTCCCACTACAAACTTGAATCTACAGGCCAGTACTGGTTATCGTGGGGGGGCTACTCTGCTAATTTTTATTTGTGGGTGGGCTGCCTGACTAACTGGGGTACTGACAGACGGAAGGTCAGGGACCTGCGCGCCTGGAGAGGACTACTCACCGGCCTCTTGCCTTGGGATTATGGACCCGGGGAGGTCTGGCCCTTTGAATGCTGTATGTGGGCTGGCCCGCCAAACAGACTTATTCTGGGACTAATGACTGGCAGCCCCGTCAGCCCCACTGGACCCGGAAAGGTCCAGTCATGTCTGCCGGAGCAGGGAGTAAAAGGGGGGCAATTGTGAAGAATCCCCCTCCATTCATTCGATACTTTCCCTCCCTGCTACTTTATTCATGGATTTATTACTGTGACGAAGTGCCCTTCGCTACTTGTGCCTGGAGAGGACTGCTTGCCCGCCTCTTGCCCTGTGACTATGGACCCTGGGAGATTTGGCCCGTTCAATTCAGTATGATAGGAGTTATGTATTTTTGTATCCTTTTGTGTTTTACTGGGAACATGTGCTCAATGGAGTCTGCCTCTATCCCTGGATATATTTGGATTATGTTCCCCATTGTCTCCAGGATAGAGGGCTCTGTAAAACCGGTTTGGGCCAGATAGCCATGCTGCCAGCCAGGCCCCAAAAGATACTTTACTAACTTCTGAACCCCTGGTCTGATTCATGCCATCTTTTGATATGTTGTTTCCCTGAATGGATTGATTGTGAATATATAATTTTTATGTGAATGTGATGTATATTTTAGAAGTTATGGATATGCTGTAAAAACTGTATTTTTCCTACCTGTGATAATTGCATCTTCTATTGTATAAGATAATTGAATCACAGGCAGAGGGGAGGATTTTGTGTGGGCTGTAACCTCTGTTTTATTGGCTACTGTAGATAACATGTGTGTCCCTCCCCTGCATGGGAGCAGGGCATAAAAGAAACTGTAGCTTGAATACCTGTTGTTGTTACTTCCAGTAAAGTCTTGTTCCAGCATTAAGCTTTGGCTCATGTGTGGATTATTCGGCGATTCCAGGGATATTTCTACTTGTGGAATATTGGGTGATTTTCTTTTATGGGAAGAAGGGAATGCTTGACGTTGATACCCTATACTACCGTCACATACAATATGTCCAAATACTGTATTTAAAGGGCCAAATCTCCCAGGGGCCATAGTCCGCAGGCAGGAGGCGGGCAAACTGGCTTCTCCATTGCACAGTGGCGAGGTTTGTGTCGCCACATCAAGGATATAATCTTTCAATGTAAGGTAATAGCTGCTTGATCCAAGGATAAATCTGACTGCCATTCTGGTGTCAAGAAGGAATTTTTTTCCTCGCTTGTTGCAAAATTGGAAGTACTTCAAAATGTTTTTTTTTGCCTTCTTTTGGATCAACAGCAAAAAACAAATTTGAGGAAGGCTTAACTTGATGGACGCAAGTCTCTTTTCAGCTATGTAACTATGTAATATACAAACACCAACTCTACACACAGAAGCACACCTGCTCCTAAGTACTACAATCTGTATACTGTCCGTAGAAATTTTCTAAATATATAAAACATTATGCTCTGTTAATTAAAAGGTTTGTGCTATGGCGCTAAAATTTTTTCGGGGGTTCCACTATGTCAAAGGGTTCCACTGGAAAAATTAATTGGGAACCGTTGGTCAAGAGCATTCTGCTCGCAGCTTATTGCAGACATCCTTATCCAACGGGTGCCAGAGCTGGTATTGTAGGAACTCCGCAATATGCCCAGGTGTGGTACACTCAGAGGACCAAGGGCATCGTAGAACCATGGGATCGAATAACGGATGTCCCACCAAATTTATACTCTCCACCCGATCATCAATCGGTCTGGCCAAAGGAGCCCAACGGTCACTACAACGGTCCTCCACCACCTTCTCCAGGATGTAACTAGAGGTTAGTTGACCAGAAGGAGCCCTCATCCTCTGACTCTGCCTCTGGACTGTCAGCATAATATTCGTCCACCACGTCCCTTCCTCATGGTGGTGCACCAAGGACTCATGTGAGACCTGTACATGACTGAACCTTGACAATTTTATGGGATCCTTGTCTGCAGAGACGCTATGCCCCTTCCATGGGCATTTGCTGGAGGTATCCTCTTCAGCAGAGCCGTGAGAGCCCCGGAAGTTGAGCCTCCACATCCTGGGATAATGGGTTGAATCTGAGAAGGTGCCCGAGGAGGCGAGTCAGAGTGGAGTGCAGCCAGTGCCTTAGGCAGCGTGTTGGCCAAAGCTGCGCACAGCCACGCCTGAATTTTGCATCCTCAGCCATTCCAGACCAAACACAACTGAAAGAATACAGAAAAAATAGCAAATTAGCATCACAGATTAAGTTGCTGGGGGTCGCCTAGCATGCACAAGTGGTGATCACCCACTAGGACAAGACACTAGTCTACTAAAAAGCCTATCTAACAGCAGGATGAACAAGATATGGATAGTTTCACCCACGACCTTGAACACCTATGGGTAAGGTGCTGGGATGGAGTCGAATCAATAGAGGGGGTCAACCTCAATAATGCCTCAAAAAAATGGGAATAAGGAAAGGATTTGTTCAGGTTTTGTGGTTACAATTAAGGTTAAGGAATAGGGTGTTTAAGGCATGTGGAGTTTGTAGGGTTATTTGCAAAGTATTCTCTGTCCTATGTCTTCTGTAGTCTAATCACCCTCCCAACCGCCTCGATTTTCACAGCATAGTCCTGATTTATCGGTCCTGTCCCCAACATTCAGTGCATCATAAAACACGACCTCAAGGATCAGCCCTCAGTGGGATATCCTGCATAACGGACAGGCAGCTTGGCATGTATTCACACCAGCCTGATCTCCTATTAACTCTGGCAGGCCCACCCCCTTTCTGTGTTGGTCTGCCCCTTTTGGGACAGATCTAGCGATGCATCGCATCTTTACTGCCTTCATCTCCCTCCCACTAACATGCCAATTCTCAAGGCGCCGGAGTTTGGAGCCATGCCGTCTTATAGTTGATACCAATAAAGTATAGCTACAGGTGTGGTTACACAGTGTGCATCACTGAATGCTGTCCATGCTCCTCCTGGAAGGTACTTCCTGTGTGAGAGGCTGTCAGTGGGTAGATGGGAAGTGATCCCTTCCACTTCCTGTCCAGCCTCACACACAGACACTGGAGAAGCTGGAACAGCACTGGGTTTTACATCCTCTATGACGGTTCCTGCAGCTCTGCTAATAAACATAGGGGGCTGACTGGACTACAGAGGACACTGACCAAGGCTCCTCGTACTTGTATCACCTTGCCAGCCAATCTGAGCTCCAAAAAGGCATATTATAAATGCATCCTTCCCAACTGTCCTAATTTCAACAGGACAGTCCCAATATTTCCCCCAAAAGCAGGATACCAAGGAACTGTCCAAAACATTCATAGCATGAACGCATCACAAGACACACTTGCACTATGGTTAGGACACCAGGACCTTTCATAAAACTGTGCTTCCTGCAGATTTTGCCCCCAATGATGAACATGATGAACAGGCAGTCTGGTGTACATTCACGCTAGGCTTCCCTGCCATTAACATGAGCGCATCGGCCTGCCCCCTTTGCCACTCTCCCACCGGTGTCCACAGTTGGGAGTGCTTAAAACAGGCATCCCTAGTGGACATGCACCTGTAGGCAGATGCCATGTAGACCGCCTTATGGGTAGAATATAAATTTGTGTATTTTTTTATTTTAATTAGCTCGGTGCATCGCTAATTGCCAATGTTACATTTTTCTAAACTTCTGCTGGCGTTTCTTTTTGGGTTGAAATATAGCGGCCACATTGAATCTGCAACAATGTGTAATCCGACTGTGCCCTAGATGCTCATTTAACCAGGAGGGTAATGGCTTTCTTATTTTATCACACCATAGGTCATGCTGAGAGGTTTTATAATCTAGTGGGGTGGGATTATTTGATAAATAGTTAAGCAATCATTAGAGAATACATTATTGAGTTATTTGGGGCTTTTGGATCTATTTAAATTGGTTTGGAGGGTATTTTGGACAACATTGAGGATTTGAGATTTTAATTGATTTGATTGGAGAGGGCTCTGAAATGTCCTATAATATTTTTTTTGCTTGTATTTGCTACTGCACAATTGGAGTTTTAAGAATAAATGCTTAAATATCAGAAAGTTGCTGTGAGTGTGTAGGTATTAGAGGGTCAATGGGGTCTGGGGGTTCTGTTGTGTATCAGATTTAAAAAAACAAAACATAGGTTTTTATATAACCTAGTCTTTAAATTAACACTTCAAGCTCCATGCAGTGTCAGGAATGCCTTGGATCCGTCCTAGTGTAAATAGTTGAAAGGTTTACTGGAACTCTTCTTTTTTATTTTTTTTTTATTTTTTTCGTCAAACAAGGACATAACAAAGCGATAAACGTTCCAAGACGTCACTGTGCACATATTACATCAACAAAAAATGCAGGCACACCTGACACCACATGGCGCGCCTCGGTCGAATTATGCATAATGACTATAAATCTTTAATTCAACTCAACGTTTTACACATCCACTTTGTTTTTCGTGTGCGTATAAAACAGTAATTTATTTTTATTTTTTTTTAAATACACATGAAAGACTGAGAGAAAGGAAAGTTAGTACAGAAAAGGTCTCTTGGCTCTGGCGGACCTTATTTCCGTGTTGTGGGTAGGTTACCGGACACTTTGCTAGATCCAGCTACAATGCTTACGTCTCCTAGGTAGGTTTTGTTTAGGTATTTAAACTTCGTGATACGTCACCAAAACTGTCCTAGAGCCTAAAATCCCTTGGAAGGTATTTCTATGCGCCATCTCAGAGAGAGAGAAGAAGAAAAAGGAAGTATTGGTCGCGTGCCGGGGAGGGAGCAACGATGTGTGGGGTGGGGTGGGGCCATATTCATCTGCTCCTCTTTACCACTCTCCAGCAGTCCCCACCCGCGTCCCACCTCAGTCCACAAGGCACTAAAAACAATTGTAACACTTACCTGATTCCAGCGCTGATCTCTCTCCTTTTGTTTTTGTAAGCCACAATGCCCCATTGGCATTACTCTTAGGTTCCACCTCCACTGAAATGCCAAAATAAATGTTAAAACTTACCTGTGATCCAGCGCTGAGCTAAGCTAAGCTCCCAGCACTGATCTCCTGCCTTCATCCAACGTCACGTCAAAGAGAAGCCTGTAATTAGACCATGTAGCGGGCTCAAGGCGCATGTGCACTCTGGGTGCTGAGGGTAGGGAAATAATAAAAAAATTAAATAAATGTGGGGAGGACTGATGAATAAAGGGGAGAAGTGGAGATCGAGCCTGCAAGGGAGAAGCTGATTATGCTTGTCACCAGTGCTCTGTGTATACTGACGACAGACATAAAATATGCAGTTCTGTGCCGTGCATATTACTAGCCCTTATCACTCAAGTGCCAATATCGTTCCATGTTCAGCATTTTAAGTAGAAACTATATATATACAGGGACCTTTAAACGTGACAGAAGGTCCACCTGGGCGGTAACCTTGTGGGGAAAATCACATGAAAGGCAGTGTGCCAGCATTAAACCTTCAGTTATTCCCCCTAAATTGAGTGTCGTCCAGTTACTGGGGAGGTGTTGGGAGAATCTTGTCTTGCCTTGCTGTATTTAGCTGTTCCTGTGAAGCATCTCCCTTGTTCCTGAGTCATCTTGGAGAAAACCAGCAGAGAAAGGTCCCTGCTAGACTAGCGCTCCACATAGGGAATATAAAGTTGTATTTCTTATACTATATTTCCCTCTCCCTCCTCTCTAACTCATGCCCCACATGCATTGAAAGGGTTAAAAAATCCTTTGTATATTCACCCGACGCCAGAGCGCTCAGATGATGGTCTCAGCCAATGATCATGGGGAGCTAATGAAAATGCCTTGCAGGAACTTCATCTGCGGAAGAGGTTCTTAAATGGATTGAGTACATACACTGGGAGGCCTACAGGGAACCATAACTATTGCAGTGGGCTATAGTGGTTATGGTTCTTGGAGTACTCCTTTAATAAAGTTGTGACTAAACTGCTGATGCTAAGAATGGAAATTCTAAATGGTTAATATATCACGTATTCCCTTGGATGGTAAATAATCAATCTTTGAGCAATAATTCAACAACAAAGTGCACCCATTAAGCCATGCTGTAAACCGTGATAATTAACACACTGACAGTCTCTTTGGTAATCTCCTACTGTTCCATTTAATAAATACCAGGCTAAGTTGGTCATTTCTAGTAAATGGCTAATGTTATAATTTTCTAAATTTCTGCTGGCGTTTCTTTTTGGGTTGAAGTATAGCTAGATTATTTGTGTGTATTTTTTCTTTAGTAGGTTGACTTTGTATTATTGTTATCTCCATGTTTGACGTAAGTAGAAACCACAGGACCGGTCTGAACATTGCTCTTGCCCCCGCACCGAGCCCCTCTGTGTCACATTTACACCCCCCTATTCCCTCCATGTGTCTCATTCACACTAGGAATCGACCGATATAGATTTTTTTAGAGCCGATCTGTGAAGTTTCAGGCCGATAGCCGATAACTTACCGTTGTTCTGTACCTTTACCATTTTGAAAAAATAAACTATTTCTACACAAATCTACTGTTAACTAAACATGTTTATTATTTATTTATTTTTTTGCAAACCTTTTTTTTTTTTTTAAGGTAAATGCACAACATATACATGCCAGTCAGAATGTTTTATGTTTTCAAGAATATGTGTGTGTGTGTGTAATGGATGCAGTGAGAGTATTTGATTAGTGAATGCATTGTGTGTGTGTTTGTGTAGTGGTTGCAGTGTGTGTGTATAAGGTATGCAGTGTTTGTGTAGTGTGTGTATAGAGAATGCAGTGTGTACGTGTAATGTGTATATAGTGCAGGCAGCGTGTTTGTGTAGTGTGTGTATAAAATGAATGCAGAGTGTTTGTGTAGTGTGTGTATATAATGAATGCAGTGTGTATGTTTGTGTAGTGGATGCAGTGTATGTGTTTGTGTAGTGTGTGTATAGTGAATTCAGTCTATGTTTGTGTAGTGTGTGTATAATGAATGCTGAGTGTGTTTGTGTAGTGTGTGTATAGTGGATGCAGTGTGTGTTTGTGTAGTGTGTGCATAGTGGATGCAGTGTGTGTTTGTGTAGTGTGGGCATAGTAAATGCAGTGTGTAG